TGGCGCAAGCCTTGAACAAAAAAGCTTAGGGGCTGTGCCCAGGCTCTGAGTTCAAGTCCCAGGATTTGCACAAAAACCAAAAAACACACAAGCAAACAAACAAAAAGCTTGGCTCTGATAGCTGATACCTGTAATCTTAGCTATTCAGGGAGCTGAGATTTGAGGATGGTAATTTGAAGCCAGCTTGGACAGAAAAGTCTGTGAGACTCTTTTTTTTATTTGGTTCGGTCGTGGGGCCTGAATTCAGGGCCTGGGCGCTGTCACTCAGCTCTTCAGCTCAAGGCTAGCGCTCTACCATTTGAGCCACAGCGCCACTTCCAGCTTTTTTCTTTTTGCTTATGTGGTGCTGAGGAATTGAACCCAGGGCCTCAGGCATGCAAGGCAAGCGCTCTACCACTGAGCCACCTTCCCAGCCCCATGACAGACTCTTATGTCTCATAAATCACCAAAAAAGCTCCAGATGAAGTTGTGGCTCAAGTGGGTAGAGTGCCGGCCTTGAGCAACAAAGTTAAGAGTGCTCAGGCCCTGAGATCTAGCCAAAGTACATGCATGCACTCACGCGTGCGCGTGTACGCACACGTGCACATGCACACACACACACACACACACACACACACACACACATGCAGGGAAGCCAGGTCAGGTACAGTAACAGCATCCCACAGTCACACATCTAAGTCAGTTTCCAATTACCCAGAGCCTGAAGGGCCAGGACTATACCCCAGCACGTGCAAGAGACCCTGAGCTGAAAAAAATAAATAAAGGTGAATAAATAAACAGTATATATTTTATTTTATATGATCTTACACATAAAGTCAATTGTCCTGAGGCAATAATTACCCCAGGGCCGCCCACCTTTAGTGCCTTCTACCGGTGGTGGGGTCCAGTCCAGGCCCTGGGCCTACATTCCAAAGGCCCAGGTCCACCTCCCTAGAAAACTGCCACTGAGCTTTCTAGAGGAGACACAAGCCACCCAGGGCTGGCCCAGCGTCTTGCAAAAGGGTCAGTGGGAATTCTGCGTCTCATCAAATACTGCTGGGCCACAGAATTTTATTTGAAAATAATTTTAATTAGCCGGAAACTAGGAGTTTAATAAATGGAAAACAGAGAACTTTCCAAGGCCACAGCTGGAAAACACTCACTTAAAAAAAAAATTCCGCCTGGCTTCCCAGCGCAGCAGAGCACCCGAACACAGGCCCGATTGCCAGAGGAATCCACAAGGAAAACAAAGCTTATTTTTAGAGAAATATTTTAAACTTGGTTTTGGTGAGCTCAGGAGTTTTCTGGTCTGTCTCGAGTCCTTAATATCTTTCCTATTTCAGAACTGCCTCTCCTGGCACCAGGTCACCGATCTGACAACTGCTATTTCTGCCCAGATGAAAATAAGCGGCCCCGCCCCCTGCCCAGAGGATGAATTGTTTCTAAAAATGTCCCAGCGCACAGCAAGTGGCCTGGAAGGCCTGTCCTTGGCAGGTGAGACCAGCAATGTAGGTGGGTCTGGGCTCCTGAAGTCCGCCTTCCACCCTGCCCTCCCCCATCAGCCACCCAGCAGGAAGTGGATGGCAGGCTGGCAGTCATTTCCTGGTTTTGAAAGCAGTTTTTAACTTGAAAGAGACCTCTAAGAAGGACTGCTTTTCCTCGGTAGGTGTTAGTCATACTGCCCCCCACCCCAACAAATAGTCACCCCTGCTGCAGCTACAGACTCCTCCAGACCCAAACACACAGCTGTGCTTACAGCTCCCAACTACCCTGGACCCCTACATCTACCCCCATAGCGGCCGCCACACCCAAACCACAGACACCCACAAACAGCAATACGCACACGTAAACTTACACACTTGCACCTGAATACACTCAGCCTTTACACACACCCACACCCAGACCCAAACATACAGGGACACCCACAGACCTCCACATCCCAGTGCTCCACATAATCTACCACACAGCAACACCCCCTCCCCCAAACCACACTACACAGATCCACACACACCTCTCCACAGACCAGCCCTTCATCTCAGACACCCTCACACCCTGCAGATTGATATTTATGGACATAAACACACAGAGCCAGCAGCCACTGACCCCCTGACAGAGCCCCAAACACAGCCTCAATGCCCACAAATATTTGTGTACCTTCATACAAGGACACACACAAACATGCTTCTCACATAGGCACCCAGACAGGCACCCTTCCAGAGACCACCCTCTGTACACACAGACAGCTGACGAGCACACACGCACTTTCAAGGTCCTGCACACTGTCAGGAAGGTTGGGAGAAGAGGTGCAGTACTCAGCAGCTCCAGCTTTCTTCCTGCAGGGCTTGGCCTGGGCCAGGCCTGTGCAGCCTCTGGGCCTTGGCCCCACACCTTCCTCCTTGCCTTCCCCCTTTCCCTCCTCCCTCCTGGGTCTTGCTGGCAGCTTTGAGCTGAGACTGCCCTGGATGCCTACATCCTCTGAGAGAGAGCGAAGAAAAGAAGAAATACAGCTGGGCACCAGTGGTGGCTCATACCAGTAATCCTAGCTACTCAGAAGGGTGAGATGTGAAAATCACCATTGAAAAGCAGCCTAGGTAGAAAGTCTGAGACTCTTCCTGCCAATTAATCACCCCCCCACCCCAAAAAAAAGCTAGAAGTGGAGTTGTGGCTCAAGTGGTAGAGCACTAACTTTGAGTAAAAGCTCAAGGACAGTGCCTAGGCCCTGAGTTCAAGCCCCAGTACCAGTACCCACGCGCTTGCATACAGCACATAAAGGTGACATGAGTGGAGAATGGGGAGCGGCTATGGGCCACTGATGGGAGATAAACCAGACTAGCCTCAGCCCAGCAGTTGGCCAGCCTGCAAGGGCTTGTGTAGAGAGCCAACTTCCGGTTTCAAGAAAGCTAGGTAAGAGTCACTTCTGCCCTCACTTGTCACCAGCAGCAAAGCTGGAGGACAGTGGATGTCAGAGGTTGGTTTGCTCCCAAGGTTCAGGACCTGATAGCCCAGAGCTATGCTTGCTGTCTGTCCTGTATCGGGAGCCACATGCATGCCTGGACTCAACCCTCCACTGATTGATTCCTATGGGACAGTACAAAACTTTGGCTTTCTCCATAGTTTTTCTCTTTTGTGCTTTTTTTTCCCTCTTCTGCACACTTAGCAATGGATCCAGACAGTGTGAAGGGTAGAAAATATGTACGTGCACATATCCTCTCTGAAATTATTTAGAAGTTGGTCCATATGAACTGGGCTGCTTTGGTCTTTAATCAGCCAGTGGAACATCTTCCAGGTCCCCCATTCTGGGCTCATTGTCAGAAAGCCTGACCATGAAAGAATTCTATCTTGACTCAGCCTGGAGCCATCTTCAGCTCTAGTTGACTTGGCAGAGCCTGTCATGGCAATCCTACTTTGTCCTTACTTGCAAGTTTTACTTGTTTCCTGGATTGACAAGAAAACAGGTCCAAGGATGATGAAGCACTAGTGTCTGCTGTTAATTCCAGCCACTGCAGAAGGACAATGACCCAGGACCCTCCATTGAAGTGCAGTAAGAGGAAATTTCTGAATGATCCCCTGAGCTTTCCACACTCTACTGGGTCTAAAACACAAACTTTAAATCCTAGCCGTTGGGCTTTCAGAGTAATAAAAAAAAAAAAAAAAGAAGAATGTGGCTTACCCCCAAAAGAAGTCTAACATTCCAATCCATCAAAAGTACTTGTTTAGAAAAATAAGTTTGGGAATGAAGTGGAAACGAGGCCTTTGAAATGCAGCTTGGCCTAAATAGCACCACATTCTAGCTGTTTCCTCCCCGTTGCACATTCTTTATGGTGTCCGAGCCTGGGGGCAGCAGGGTCTTCACCCAGCCCAGGCCCTCCTTGGCCTCTGGCTTCCCCTCCCCTCCCAGTACGGAGGCCCAGCATACGGGAGAATTTTCAAACTGCTCTCCATTCCTATTGGCAGCTTGGGCCAACCACCAGAAAAATGCTCCAGTGAACACCAGCGCCATCATCCTTAACTCCAAACAGCTGCCCAGGCCAGGCACATCCGTCCCTTGCCTCCCCCCCCTCCCCCCCCCCCAGCTCAGCTGTGAGTCACCAGAGACCCTGGCAAAGGCAGGGCCATTAAGAGGGGGATGCAAGGATTGGTTGATGGAGCCCAGCTGTTGTTGGTAAGAAAGCAAACTATTGCTAAATCTCTTACCTAACTTTGGAAAGTGTCTGTGGCTACTTGTGCAGGAGGGGGAGGTAGAGAAGGAAAACAAGAATTATAAACCTGATTTTGCTTTAAAGTGATCAGGAAAAAAATGTCAGCCTTAGTAAGTTTGCTCAACTGTTTTGGGAACCCAGTCAAATCAATGCAGTCTTTTTTTTTTTCTTCTTTCTAGAAGCCTGGATTGAATTTGCTTCCTAGACTAGAAGCCTTCTAGTTGTCTGAAGCCCAGACTCTTAATTCCTTTTGCATAAATAGTGGGTTATGTGCTCACTCCCAGAGGAAGTTGTCTGCATAAACAAACATCATCCAGATATAAGTTCAACTTGCTTTATCTTCCCTCTCTCTTTCTTTAAAGGACACAGCCAGGCCTTTCCAAAGTCCAGGCAGAAGCCTAGCTCCCCAACCCAGGCTCTGGCCTACATGCTCCCCTCCAGATCAGGACACTAAAGCCCTACAGGCTGTGGGCAGGCAGTGGCCTAGAGAAAAATTGGACCTTCTGCTGCCACTAGCAGCCACGTGACCCCACTGGGTGACTCATAGGCGAGCCACACCCCTTAAAAGTCTCCCGCCAGGATCTGCCACCAGTCAGCCAACTCTGGGATGCATCTCATTACCAAAGGGAACAACTAATGCCCTTGACAGTCCGAATAATTTCTTTCAGCTAAAAAGAACTTGCTATAAAATAAATACAGGTACAAGTGGATACAGGCTCTTCAGAGCTCTGCCAACACTCCTACCCTCCCTCCCCACCCTGTGAAAACCTGGGTAGTGCCAGAGGCCACAGGAAGAGACTCTCTTGTGTTACAGTGCATTAGTACTTTTTTTTCCCAAAAATTTTATTGGGGGAAAACTACAAAACATTTACAGTACAATGTTTACAGTCACAATTTGTAGTGAACTGATTCCCCAAAATATATTACAACTCAAGTTGACTTATCTTGTTACATTCAAAAACCTACTTCTGTCAAAGTAGTCCAGAGAATACATACACAATAGTGCTCCAACTGTACCTACAAATCTAAGCTACTGCTCATTCATCTGCTGTCCAGGAAAGCTTCAGACATTCTTGCCTTTCTACACTGAAAAAAAAAAAGAAATTGTCCAAGTTTTGGAATCTTCTGTCATGAAACAAGGCATCTTCATGTTCTGCATACATCATCTCAGCACTATGAGGTGGCCTCTCTATAGCTATATAAAAAAGTGGTAAAAAAAAATCTTTTCCTTTTGTGCAGTTGAACCCATCCTACATTCAGCTTCTCTCAAGCACTAATACACACAATACTTATTTGGTTGAGGAGGATTTAAGGCAAGTTTGGGCCATCTGAAGGCACTGGGATATTCCCCTCCTCATTATTGCTACATGTCTTTATACTCAAGAGTATGTCACAGTTCAAACTGGTGGTCTCAGGAAACACTTTTTTTTTTTGCTAGTTTGGAGTTAGAAAAGCATGCCACATGTGAGCCTGACTGCAAAGTATGTGGTCATTTTTTTTTTTTCTAAGCTGGATGGGCTACAACCATTATACATTCTAAGAAAACTCATAAAAAATATTCCTCGAACTACTTCCACAGCATCAAGGTAGATTTCTGTTAAGAAATCACGCAATCTTTCGAAATTTACGTAAACAAGGAAAGAAATTAATGAAATAAATATTACATACAATCTCTTAAATTAAGATTTTTTTACTCATTTACAATAAAATAACCAAGTGAAGTTACAAAAGGCATATATTACTGTGAAAAGAACATACACTCCACATTTTGCCGATTAATAATGGCAATCATAATTTAACATAATAAAAGAATATATATCTATTGCTTTCCATCATACTTGATAAATACAGTATGAACAAAATTTTCAATGTATACTTTTCACAAGATAATAAATAAGTTAAATAGGTTTTTTTTTTCATATTGAGTTGTGGTGCAGTGGTGCGAATCAACTCAAAACAGCTAAAAATTCAGCAGTTATTCCCCAACAATTACAAACTAAGCTCTGCCCAAGGCTTCCAGAGAGAGCAGACAAATGGTTCTAAACTAAACACCCCAAGTGGTGACAATAAAACCAGTAACCAGTATCAAACTTTGGAATGCAAGGATCCCCCCCCAATACATATATAACTTTGTTAAAGTTAAAAAAAGAAAAAAAAAACCCACACACAACAAAGGGTCTGAGAACTACTACTATCAAGGCATATTCTTGGCAGAGTATTGGATTCTAAAAGCTTACAGTTTAGCAAGGTGGTGGCCGGCTGGTTTGTTTACACTGGTCTGAGACAAACAATTAGGAACTTCTTTCACAAGTTCCCACATCTGGACTGTCACTAAACGCTTTTCAAGTGAAGAGATGGAATGGTGGTTGGTAGCTGCTGGTGCTGGGCTGACTTTTCCTAGAGTCTCAAACTCAGAGACCTAAAAAAAAGTTTTAAGTGTTTGGTTGTTTTTGTTCTATTCGCATCACAACTGCTCTGTTGTGAGTATTTTGTTCATGAATACAAAAAGTTCGTTGGCTTTTTTTTTTTTTTGCTCAACAAGAAACTTCGTAATAATAATATAATAATAATAAAAATAATAATAGACAAAATGAGAAAACCGAAGGGGGAGGGAAAACATCCCCCTCCCAGAGCAAAGTTCGAGTCCACACGCTAGGCAGGGGGGGCTCTGCAAGTCTGCCATGGGCTGGCCATCCCAACTTCTGTGCCCCCCCCACGCAGGGGTGGGATGCGAGGGGCTCCCTCCAACCACCGCCCCCCCTCCGCGACCTCTCCCTTCCTCCTCCTCCTCCTCTCTGGCGCCTCCTTGCCTCAGTCGTCGGAGATGGACAGGCGGCTGAAGATGGGCAGGCGGCGGCCGGGATCGAGGCTGGGGGACTCGGAGCCGCTGAGGCTGCCCGAGCTCAGGGAGCCGCTCAGGTAGCTGTCGCGGTCCGACAGCGAGTCCGGGGGGCTGGGCGGGGCGTCGAACACGGGCGACTCGGACAGGCGGCGCGGCAGCTGGAAGCTGAAGGGCGGCGAGGGCGGCGCGGGGCCGGCGGGGAGGGGCCCGGCGGGCGCGGGGGGCTGCGCGGGGGGCGCCAGGCCCTGCGGCGGCGGCTGCTGGCTGCGGTAGTAGGCGGCGGCGGCGGCGGCGGCGAAGCCGTGGGTCTGGATGGCCAGCGGCGTGATCAGGCTGCTCAGCTCCGGGCCGAAGGCGAAGGCGTTGTTGGCGCACGAGGCCGCCGAGCAGGAGGCGCACGGAGCCCCCGGCGCGAGCAGGTCGTCGGCGCCCCCGGAGCCGTAGAGCAACGCGGCTGCCGCCGCCGCCGCCGAGGCGCAACACGTCGGGGCGCCCGAGGGCGTGGAGGCCGCCGAGGCGGAGGAGCAGGAGGAGGCGGACGAGGAGCAGGACGAGGCCGAGGAGCAGGAGGGCGGCGGCGGCGTGCGCGACGTGGGGCTGTCGAGCAGCAGCGGCGACTCGAGGCCGCCCGGGGGCTGGTGGTGGCCCGTCGGGAAGCCCGAGAAGCTGAGGCTGTGGTGCAGCTTGGGCCGCGGCTCGCGGGGGAAGCCCAGGTGCAGCGCGTCGCGGGCGCCGCCGAAGGCGCGCAGGTCCCCGGCCGCGCCCCCGGACGGCGCGGGCCGCCGCTCGTCCGCGTTGTGGATGAAGTGGCAGCGGGGCCCGTAGGGGCAGAAGCCGATGGTGTGGAAGGTGCGGCACAGCTCCGTCTTGTACTTGGGGTGCCGGGTCAGGCTGCGCAGCTCGTGGAAGCCGTGCGCGAACTGGCACTTCTCGCCGTACTTGCACGTGCCGCTCTCCTCGAAGGGGCGGCACAGCTCGGTCTTGTAGCGCGTGGAGTTGATCTGGGAGCCGCCGCCGCCGCCCCCCTTCTGCTGCTGTTGCTGCTGCTGCTGCAGGTGCAGGAGGTGCTGGCTGCGCTCGCCATTCTCGCTGAACGAGCGGTCGCGGAATTTGTTTTCCTTGTTGAGCAGCGCGGTGCCGCCGCCCCCCGACGGCTCCTTCAGGGGGCCGTAGGAGGCCGGGCCGCTGGCCGCCGAGTTGCCGCAGCTGCTGCCGTTAGCGGCGCCCGGGAACTTGGGCGAGCAGCTGCCGGGGCTGGGAGCGGGGTGAGCGAGCGCATGCAAGTTGCTGGCCGAGTGCCGTCGGAGGAAGCCCGGCGTGAAGCTCGAGCTGGGGGCAGCGGCCACGGGCGTCCCCACCGCCTTCTTGTCCAGCATGTTGTTCAGATTGAGGTTGGCCAGCGACTTCTCCGTCTGCCAAAGGGAGGGGAGCGAGGAGGGGATGAGAACGCGCGCGGACAGGGCCGGGGAGCGCCGGGGCGAGCGGCGTTCCGTAAACTAAGTTCTTCCGCGGATTGCGCCGCGGCCTCCACCCAGACACGCGCGAGCCAGCCAGAGAGCCAGTGGGGGCCCAGCCCGGCCGCCCCGGGGCCCGACACGTGATCCTCAGGCCCGTGGGCCTCCGGGTGGGAGGCGCAAACACTGTCCGGGAAGTCCCGGGCAGCGTGGCCGCAGTCAGCTCCCGAGAAACTAAACAGCTCGGGCCGCTCCCTCCTTCCCTTCCGCCCTTCCTGCTCGGGCTCCCCCCCCCCGCCCGAAGGGCGCTCGCACACCCGACTGCAAACTCCGGGATTTCCCCCCCCCCCCCCAAACAACAGCCGCGGGCCGGGGGCGAAGTCTTGGAAGTGGAAGGGGTGGCGCGCGCCCGCCGCCGCCGCCCTCCCTCCTCCCTCCCTCCTTCCCCGGCTCCCCGCGTACCTTGCACAAGAAGTCGATATCGTAAAAGGCCGACAGAAGTGTGGTCGACATGTTTCTGGGTCCTGTGCTGGTCGCAGCTGCAGGCTGGAAGGCTGGGAGGAGCCCTCGGGGCGGCCACGACGAGTAACGGGTGAGGAGGGACCGAAAGTTGTGCTGGGGGGAGGGCGGCGTGGACGGGCAGAGGCGCCCCGGAGTGCGGAGCGGGGTGGGGGGGGAAAGGAGAGGAAAGCAGAGCGCGCACCTCGGCGCCCGGGGTGCCCGGCCCGCCCCCCGCGCCGAGCCGACGGCAGCTCGCGGACTGCTGGAACTCGGCGGCCCGCGAGCGCGCAGCCTATATAAGAGCCCGGGAGCGCTGCGGCGGCGGGGCGGGCGCGCCAGGGGAGGGCACGGAGCGCTGACCCCGCCGGGGTCTCCAGGCAACGCCGCCCGCCGGCTCGCCAACGTCAGGCGCCTCGCTGGCCTCCCATTGGTCGCCGCCAATTTCCCCCCCCTTCTAGGGGGTGGGGAAGAGGCGGGGCCGGCGGCCCGGGCGCCTGGGCAGCGTGGAGAGTTTAGCCCCGTTGGGTGCTAGCTGGGTGGCGGCGGTGAGGTTGCTGCTCTCTGTTCTCCCGTGGGGCTGCAGTGTTGGAAAGCCCCCGCACCCTCCATGTGCCCTGCGTTCTGCGGCCCTGGACGTGTCTCTCCCCGCCCGATCCTGCCAGGCGGGCTGGCGCGGCTTTTATCATCTCCCACCCTCAAGTTTCTGTACTGGGCGCGGGAATTGCAAAATGCAAACCTATTGCAACGGTCCGCGCGCGCCCAGCTGGTTGGCAAAGAGCGCAGGGGTTCCCCGCCTGAGTCTCGTAGAGGGGCTCCGTCGGGCTGCACGTGGAGGCACGATGGGGGCGGGAGGGGGGTTGGGAGACGCGGCCACGCGGAAGGCTGCAGCTGTAGTCTGGCCCTCCGGAGTCCGGACCGGTTTCTCCGCCCCTCTCCCCGCCCAGGCTCTGTAAACAGGGCTAGAGCGCCCGGGCCTGCCGGGCTGGGCTGAGTGTCTGAGGACAAGGCGCTGGCTTTGCTAATCACATCACAAGACCTTGAGCCAGGGCCAAAGGCGCGGAGTGGCGCGGGGCGTCCGGGGCGGGGAGCCGACTGGGAGGACGGGAGAGAAAGCCGCCAGAGCCGTTCAGCATGGAGGCAACTTCCTTCCATCTCTTCCGTCTGCTGGCGGATCTGATCTCCCCTAACTCTGTCGGGGGTTGCGGGGGAGCTGCCCGCCAAGGCTTTCTGCCCTGCGTAGTCTTTGCGCGTCGCGTCTTCCGGGTCGTCCCAGCCCCCAGTCCAGCCTTAGCTGCTGTAGAACTAGGCTGAGGCGGGGCTGCGGCCTGGGTGGGAGCTCCCCGTTACCTCTCGGCAGCCTGCACCCCAACAGCTTACCCTGGGAAAGGCGTGCTCCCCACGGACGTCGGCTCCTGTCCTGGGACGGGGCAGACACCCCCACCTAGCGCCCGGCGAGGCAAAAGCCGCTGACAGCTGTACTCGGCCGACCTGGAGTATGGTTGAGGCCTCTTCTAGCTATGCTGTCTACTCTAGCTGCCAAAAGGCTGGAGCCAGGCCCATGATTTCACCCAGCTGGCAGACAGGCCGCCTAAGGTGGAATGTCCAGGAGCTGCCAGGGAAGGAAGCTTGACCCACACCCCTTTCCAAATTGATCTACCAGTCTGATTGCACTTAGTTCATTCAGTCCTCATTGGGCTGTCAGTTAACCAGGGGAGAAGGAGACAGGCCTTCTTTGAGACAAAGGGGGTCAAGTTCCAGCAAAAAGCATTTACCCACCTGGGATCTAGAGTTCTAGGTGGGGCTGGAAGAACTTTAGGGTCAGAAATGTGGGGCTAGAGTTCAGGCCCTATGTCTTATTCACTCATGTGATCGGAGACGAGTCACGCCATCTGTTTGGTACTTGTAAAACAAAGATAGCAAAGATAAAATTCTTGCTTTACTCATCCCTCACCTTTGTCAAGGTGCAGTTGAGCTAAGAGGTATTTAAAAGATGGACAGGTACAAATCATCTTTAAATTAGCAAAGTGGACAAAGCCAGTCCTCTAGAATGTGCCAGATGGATGGGGTGCGGGTCACAGAATCATGAGTAAAGAAAGAACCAGTGGCCACCCATATTTTGGACCCTAGAACTCGAGTCATAAGGAAGTAGTGACTGCAGGAGAGGGCTTTATTTTTGTCCATCCATCACTGGCTTATAGAGGTAACTGGCTGACATGTTTTATTCTTTGCTGAAACACGAGTTAGTCCCTGAGCACAGGGTCTTCAAGATTTTCCCTGGGGTGCATCAGTGTGAAGCAACTGTTTCCTCAGCCAGTACTGTCAGGTTAGTAAGAAGACCAGGTATAGACATGAGGAAAGAGCAGTCCTTCCTGCCCATCTAAGCTAGCTGAAGCCAGCCAAGATCTAAATCTGGGGTAATTCCCAGTCAACAGCGGTGAGAACACCCGCTTTGTGGACTTGGTAGGATTCTGAAATTACCATGTAAACATGTTCTGGGACATGGTTTAGGACAGAGTGCCTACTAGAGTAAAATATTTTTATTATTACATCACTGCTTGTATTTCATTTTACATAAATGATGGTGGGGGGGTATAACTGGCCCCCTTTTTTTTTTAATGAGTTGGGCTTTGTTGTGCCTTGTTCAGAAGTATTCTTTCATGGTTATTGCCACGTAGCGATTACCACATTATACCATCAGTCCCTGCCTTCCTACCAGCTAGGTCTCAGAACAAAAAACAGTCAAGTTGGCAACTTTCTATCAAGTGTGGGCTACACAGATGCCTAAGTAGGTAATTAATTCAGGATCACAAGAACACATTTGGACCTGAAAGTTTGCAAGACCACCCAGGGAATTTTCTGTTCTCCTTAGGATGACATGATACTTTGGATGCTGAGTTAACCTGTATTTCTCCTCTTCTTGTTGAGCCTTTCTCCATTCTGGAAATATGACCACATTTTTAGTGTTGGATGGTTTTCTCTCAGATCAGTTAGATTAAAAATCTCAGCTTTTTTTTTTCCAGTAGGAAATAGCCATATTCAATTCCTTCTTCTCTAACTTGCACCTTCAGATAATCAAACATAAAATAGGTCTTGGGGAATTACCTGAGAAATTTTAAAAAATATTTACAGCCCCCCCACAGATTTATATATTATGAGTAAAATGGACTTTTCAGATAACTAGGATGGAAAATGACCATGAATGAGACAATCATATTTCCAAGTTATGAATTTCAAGGTAACTCTCTACAGTTCTGAAAGTATACGTTTAAAATGGTAAAAATGAAATAACAAGACCATCAGCAAAATATGTACAAAGAACGCCACCTGCTGGATATATGAGGCAGAAGGCTGGGCTGGCCTGGAAAGGCAGAGTGCCTGTAAGGTTTCTAGACTAAATCAATGAAATTAATCAGTGTGTTTATTGACATCTTAAAGCCCAATCTTGTTACTGCCACCAAGCATAGGATGGTAAAAGTGTGGACATCAAATAAAACATTTCTTCAAGTTCTTTGTAAAAGTCAACAGGACGTGCTCGGTGGCAAAATCAGATTTCCTAGTTAACCAGCACATATTTTGGGGGAAGATAGTAGATTCCCAGTGGCTATCCTAACAGTACGCATGTGAGGACCACATCAGGACTTATGCATGCAGACAGCACAACAAAATTATTGGCATGAAGTTGATCCTTACTCTCCCCAGGACCCAACATTGGAAACATATTTTTTTTTTTTGGTCATTAATGGGGCTTGAACTCTGGGCCTGGGCGCTGTCCCTCAACTCTTCAGCTCAAGACAAGTCCTCTACCACTTGAGCCACAGAGCCACTTCCAGTTTTCTGAGTGGTTTATTGGAGATAAGAGTGTCACAGACTTTTCCTGCCCAGGCTGGCTTTGAACTGTGATTCTCAGATCTCAGCCTCCTGAGCAGCTAGGATTACAGGCCTGAGCCACTGGTGCCCAGCCAGAACATATTTCTTTTCTTTCTTTCTTTTTTTTTTTTTTTAAGTAGCGGTCCTGAGCCTTGAACTCTGGGCTTGGTTGCTGTCCCTAAACTTCTTTTGTTCAAAGCTAGCACTCTACCACTTGAGCTACAGCATCATTTCTGGCTTTTTCTGTGATTAACTGGAGATAAAAGTCTCACAGACTTTCCTGCCTGGGCTGGCTTTGAACTGTGATCCTCAGATCTCAACCTCATGAGTAGCTAGGATTATAGGTGTGAGCCACCAGTGCCCAGCTTTGGAACACACTTCTGTTTTGCTAAAATAGAATACAATTTAGAAATCTAACCAAATGAGTCTTTTGCCAACTAATCCAGCCCTACATATATATTCCCCCCAAAAGAGGGAGGGGTTGTTTATTTTAAAATCCAGTCTGTGTAGTGAATTCACAGGAAACAGAGTGGCAATGGCTGGACATCAGTGGTCCTAGGGGATGGAAGAGGCTAATCCAGGCCTGCAGGTGGCCTGCACCTGCGGGCAGAGTAAACATTCAAGGGTAGCCTCACTTCCTATAGTAGCTGCAGTAAACTAGGCTGCCATGAATGACTGAATGGAAGAAAAATCCCTCAGTAGAAGGTGACAGAAGTCCAAACTTCTAGAAATGAGGAACGAAGGGGGAAAGTTTGAACATGATGGACATATTTCTTGGAGAGCTGGTGGTAGACTCTCTGTAAGCCTTCTTTCTTCAGTGTCCTTGTGAGTTAACTCTTAATTTTGCAGGAGAGTACTGGGCTTTGAGAACAAGGAGGCTTCCCCTTCCTTCTCTTCCAGAAAGGCTAGCAGCCTCAGGCCTGCTAATGTCCTTTCCTCCTGAATGCGTAGTCTTGTGTACTCTACTGTCTTCAGGAGCTCCGCAGCTGGAGGAAGCTCTCTGAAGAGCTGGGAGAGGCACTGGCATCGCTCTGACACCCTCTTTCGCAGGTGATGGAGTCTCTCAGAGCGAGGGGGATGTCGGCAGGACTTGCAGAGGACATGGAAGAGAGATCTATTGAGGTATTTCACAAAGGTCAGGGTCTCAGCCCAAAAGTTGACTTCTGCTTTCTCAAACAGGTAGTCGTCTTCGTCCTACATCAAGTGAAAATGCTTACAGTCAGCCTTTCAGGGAATGCTGACAAGCCCCAGGCACTCCAAGCAACGTCCTGCCAGATGCAAGAGGGACATTTCCTCCCCCACCTGACAGAGGGCTCACTCCAGCTTGTCAACACCTTCGTCCCACACACCACTAGCAGCCTTGAAGGTCACCTTCTATTTTTGCTCCTGTACCTTTTTTTTTTTTTAAACCAGA